CTTGATTTTCTGCATCTGGCATATTTTATTTAGCATGAAGATCTCCTGTTCCATCTATTTTGCTGCAAATATAAGGATTTCCTTCTTTATCCATTCATCTGCCGCAGGGCAGCAAGGCGGATCCCATGTTGTGAACACCTTTGTAGCAAACCTGGGAGTACAGGCACCAGGATCTGGACCTGGGTGGCAAATGATCGAATTTGCATTGCCTTGAGCCTCTGTATTTGTTGTAATTTTCCAGGGAAGCAACAAGAGACTCAAGCACTCTCTGTTGTGAGTCTACAGCACAGTAACCCAATGGTGATACTGACACGGACATCTCACCAGCTTTATTCAGATTTCCCTGGTCTTATTTTACTTGTATGTGGCTGTATTAAGTTCTATAAGTGGTTATCACTTGTGTCAATTCCTATAGTCACCACCACCAAGAGACTGAACAGTTTCTAAGTCACGAGAACCTGCATTATAACCTCATACATCCCATCCTGTCCTTCCTCCTCCCCATATATTTCTCTCTCCAGCTCCAACTCCAGGCACTCACCAATCTCCCTGCCACTTCTGAAATAGTTTTATGTAAAACATATTTTATAAACAAGTACTTATGTTGCATAATCTTTTGGGATTGGCTTCATTCATATAGCATAATTACCAGGAGATCCAATCAAATTACTTTCTATATTAATGCTTCATTCATTTTTATGGTGGAGTCATAGCTCATGTTATGTGTGAACCATGCATTGTTTATTCATTAACCCAAGGCACCTGTATTGATTCTAGTTTTTGTCTACTTCGTGGAAGGCATCCCTGAACATTCACTACAAATTTTCCTATGAATGCAAGTCTTCATTTCTCTGGAATAAACAGCTGGATCTACTGGACTAAACTGAATGCTTAGTCTTTGAAAGAAACTGCCAAACTGCCTTCCTGATTGGCTCTACCAGTGTACATTCTCATCAATACCATACAAGTGATCTCCTTTTCCTGCATCCTACACAGCATTTAGTGTTGATACTATTTCAAAAATTTTGCTCATTTTCATAGATATTTAGTGATATTTCATTCTGTTTCTAGTTTGCATTTTGGTCACAGAATTTCCATTGAATAGGACAGTGTACTACAATGCCTGAGTGTGGTGGTGTTATCTAAGGCCTTCACTTGTTTCTTACCCTTTACTAACATGAAGCTGTTGTTAGTCACCGTTTACCTCACCCCTCTTCTCATCTCTTAGGGCTGGCAGCAAAAACGAGGCATTTCTATTCATCTATTAATGTTTCTGGAACTTTGGGAGGCTTTGGAAGTTTTTTCCATTCTTCATCGTGTACATTTCTGGCAAGCATCTTCCACTGAGCTGTTGTTTGCTCCAGGACTTTAGACTTGTAATGTGGTAACATTCTGATGAAGATGTTCCATTTGTATTTCTCATCCCAGTTTATTATGATTATTGTTCCCCAACCAGAAACAAATCATGCAGTGAACTGTGTGATCAATTCTGTAGAACAGCTTTTGTTTCCATGTCTTTGTTTTAAAATCTAGCAGCACTGTTTGTGTATGTAGCCGACACATTTATTTTAATGTGTGTGGTATTGCTTCCAGACTCCTAAACCCAATGTCTGTGTTCTCAACTGTTACTCAGATTATTGAACATGAAACAAGATAGCTGAATCTTTAAAATTTATGCTTTTTATGACCTATAAGTCTCCAGACTTCTGAGCCTCTCTTTCCTGGGTAAGATTTTATTAATATCTATGAATGTTGAGGCTGCTGTGGAGTTTAGGATACACAAGTGTAATGGTTAATTCATTGTGTTGTTTTGAGAAGTTTAGAAGCTTAATGAAGCACTTCATCAGGGAGCCAAGGACCTCACTGTGTACACATCGTCATCCTGTGCAAAAGAGGGTCATGAAGATGGTGAGAGTGCTATACTGCTTGGGAACATAGCCTGTTTACAGTTTAAGGGAGGAAAAGAGACTTGCTTTCCACCCCCTTTTTTGCTGGTTTCTGTTGCTCTGAAGTGTTGCCCCTGTGCCATGCCACCCTGCTTTGGAGCCAGCTGATAATGGACTGAAACCTCCACATACTGTGAGCTAAATAAACCTTTCCTTTCTTCATTTTGGGTGTCGGGTATTTTGTCCCAGCAACACGAGACAACAAATAAGTAACTAAGACAACAAATAAGTCTGGAAGATTCATACTTACGTGAATTTTTTTGTCTAATGCTGATAATTTGGAAATATGCAGACCATGATACAATGTAAGATTTAAAAAATTAGATCTTTGAAATGTAGTCACTAATGAAGATTTCAAGTATTGATCTCATTGCAGTAGTATCTTCTTGCATGTTCTGAATAAGGAAGATCTACCCCAGGACTGCTGCCTATGGCATAAAAGGAGAAGGGGAGGGGAACACTGCATGCTGCTGATTTCCCAGGAGAAGCTTTGTTCTAGTTGGTTTCCCTGAGGCAAACTTGGCTGTTTGTGAGGGAGGCGCTTGGGTCCTCCTGTTGCCGGGGAAGGCTGCTGTTCTCTTGGAGAGCTCTGGTCTTTGCCTCAAACGTGACTTCCTGGCTTCAGTGCAGATCCTTCAGCCTGCTGGCACAGATCATTTGCCTGGTGCAGACTTTCCAACTTCCATCACTGGCCTCAGGGCCTTCCCAGTGCAGATCCTTGTTGTGGACTTGCCTGAGACGTGGCTGTGGGCCCTAGGCCATCAGCTGGACCTGTGGTGGACATTTCTATGGGATCCAAGGCCTCAGCCAGATTCTTTGGGTCTCTAGTGCACAGACAGATTTCTCGTACTCGTCTGTATTTGATGTTTTGACTGAATGTTATAAAATAATCCTGTAAGTTGTATGTCCTGTATTGAATCTATTCCATTGAGCCACTGACCACAATAGGTGATTTCCCTTACCTGTGTCTCTTCCATTGCCTGACTGCTGCCTGACACATCCATCCTCCAGCCACCAAAACACTGCCCTAGCATTGCTGGGATCAGTAACACTGAAGTTAGCTTTATTCCTGCCCTCCTTAGAGATGCAGAGTAATGCACACAATTGACCTCGACCTCGTCCCAGAGAGCTGCATAGTTCCCTGTGTAGCTCAGCTGCTGATTCATTCTCTAGGACAGAGCCCCAGACCTGCTCATGAGCAGACACTCTGTTCTGAGTACCCAGAGTGCTAGAATAAAACGTGTTTGGTCTCAGTTCCTGTAAAAGGTCAGCGAGAGGTCAAACTTGAACTGACTTTTCATTCGAAAGGATATGGACTAAACTTGCCAAGGATGCACACACAGAGCTGGGCTTATTATGTGTGATGTTAACACTCCAGTAACAAAGGCTGGTGGTATTTAGAGATGAAAAAAATTAGAATACAAGCATTAGCCTTTATGTTCAATCTTTTTTTTTTTGTCTTTTTCTTTTTTATCGGTACCGGGGATCAAACTCAGGACTGTCTGCTTGCAAGGAAGGCGCTTATGCCGCTGAGCTAAATCCCCAGCCCCCTATGTTCAATCTTTTTAATACAATTATTGCTTAAATATTCTCTGTACTTTGGAAGGGGTTTGGCCTCCCTCCCATGAACTCCCTTTTAAATACAGTATTCTCTCAGAGAGACCTGATTCTGGGGTGCCATAACGGCTGAGTGAATACACACTAGCTCTGAACCACATTAATTCCTTCTGTGGGTAGTGCCCTCAGTGACCTCCCAAGGGCCACCCTGTAAGGCACACTCACCTCTTCACTTTGCAGAATTTGGGGCTAAGCTTCACACACATGAACTTTGGGTGACACCTCCAAACCATTCCCAAACCGTAGCAATGAGTGTCCAAGATAAATCCAAGAGGTATGTTTGGTAGGAGTGATGGAGATTCCATTCATTCATCCACTGCTAGAACAGCCAGCACTGGGTTAAATGATACCCCTACTCATAGCCTTTAGTGTCCATAGTTTACCTGCACCATTAACTACTTATATCTGTGTGCTTCTAAAGTCTTTCTGTCTGTCTGTCTGTCAGTCTCTCATACACACACATCTTGAGCTCAAGAAAGAGAAAAAAATAATATCAATAATAATGCAGAAACAATTCTTGGAGCTCCCTCATCGGTTGTTCAAGCTACTAAGCTGGGTTTGCATATTTATTCCATATTGGTAATCATGTCAAGACCGTGAAGGTCTGAGGCAACAGGTCTGCTCCAGGGTCCTGTAGCTCCTTCACTCGAGCCTTCTGCATATCAAATGCCAAAACATTCATTAAGAGGGCCAGAAATTTAGCTCAATGGCATAACCATCTACCTGGCAAGTGCAAGGTCATGAGTTCAATCCCTGGTACCAATAAACAAACAAATAATAAATAAAATTGCATTTTGAGGGGTTATTTACAATTATACTTTTTGATGTTTCATAAACTGTTCCTTAAAAATAAGCTTTTGCAGTTCCTTTTTTTTTTTTTTAAATCAACCCAGAAATAGCTGTGTTGGCCTGCAGGTTACTGTATCTCACCCTTGTGAGAGCAGTCTGTCTTATTTTCTGATCTTTCTGTATTTGTTTTTATTGATTTGACAAATATTTATTGAGCAACAAGGATGTACTGAGAAATATATCCTGGATGCTGGGAATTCAGGATTGAGCAAAATGTTTTCTTCACTTTTGTGTGTACTGGCGGGGGTGTTCATTGGTGCTGGTAGGAGTATGAATCACACCACCATTCTGGAGTCAACACAGAAACTCAGCCTTTCTGGGGTGATTAAGCATCTCTCCACACTCACAGGAAGGGAGTATCTTGCTCTATGTTTGATGGGTTAACTCAGGGCCTTTAGAACTAGTTCAGCATCTGTATTACCCAGAGGGTGTTTTTCAGTCTTAAGAGTTCCACTGTTGCCTGCATTTCAATACAGCGGAACGAAGTAGATTTGGTTTGTGAAGTATCCATAATCCCTAATTTGGAAAGATTAAATTGTGATAGCACATCTCTACTGGATGACTTGATGGGCTGTTTTTGGATCCAGCCTAAATGAACTTTTTCCCTGCTACTTTCACAGCTTCTTTGACCTCCTTGTTTCTCAAGCTGTAGATCAGAGGGTTCAACATGGGAATGATGATGCCGTAGAATACGGAGGCCACTTTCATATTGTTCTGTGAGTGCTCAGAAGGAGGCTGTAAGTACATGTAGGAGAGAGTCCCATAGAATATGGTGACAGCTGTGAGGTGGGAGGCGCAGGTGGAGAAGGCTTTCTTCCTCCCTGCAGCAGAAGACATCATTAGGATGGCGGCCAGGATGTAGATATAGGAGAAGATCACGACCGACACAGTGAATGTCAGGTTAAATCCCACAAAGACAACAATTAACATGATGTTGATGTCAGTGTTGGAACAAGAAAGGGCGAGAATTGGGGGAAAGTCACAGAAAAAATCATTGATGATGTTGGACTTACAGAAGGACAGAGAAGCTGTAAAACCTGTGTGCACAGAGGCATTTATTGAACCCATGAGATATGAGCCAGCTACCAGCTGGATGCAGATGGTTCGAGACATGATTATGGGATAGCGAAGTGGCTTACAAATGGCTACGTAACGGTCCACTGCCATAGTTGCCAAGAGGTAGCAGTCGCTGGTTGCAAATGTTGCAACTACCAATAATTGCATTATGCACCCTCCATACGATATGGATTTGTCTTCTGCCATGAAGTTCTGGAGCATCTTGGGAGTGATAGCAGATGTGTAGCAGATGTCAACAAAGGCCAGGTGTTGCAGGAAGAAGTACATGGGTGTCTGAAGTCTGGAATCTGTGTTGATGAGCAGGATCATTCCAGTATTACCCACCATAGTTGTCACATAGATCACAAGAAATACAAGGAAGAGGACACACTGAATCTCGTATTGGACACCGAATCCGAGAAGATAGAATTCAGTCACTTGAGTTGCATTTCCTTGTGTCATGGTTATCAAAAACCTAAGAAGGACCAAGGGAAGGATGCACACAAGAAAGAAGATGTATGTGACTTCTGGAAATAACAAGATTCTTATATTTCTTATCACTGTTCGGACTTGGACTTTCCTGATAAAACTCACAAAGAGATTTATTATTTTCCAAATGGCTTTTGTTATTTTTTATAAGACCATAAAAAAGCTGTTTTTGAAACATGGATTCACTTTTCAATGAAGAGTATTTCCACGTCAGTACTGACACTAATATGTGATTCTGAGAAAAATAGGTTTAGTACATTTTTCTACCATAGTAACAGGTATCTATATTTGCACTAGCCAGTTTTTAAATATGATTTCGTACCTTTTCAGTATCTTACATTTTGAGATCTTAAGTGTATGGACAGATTTCCTGCACTTTTCATGTTTGACTCATTGTGTGACTATTATAAAATAATACTATAAATTATGTGTCCTGTATTAAATTGTTTTTCTTGCAATTCCTGACTATAACAGTTACTTTCATAGAGGACAAATTATAATGTGATTATGGAAAGATGCATACAGGAATACAGTTATTTTTATTTTGGATTACTTTATGACTGGGTGGTTGAATTATTCTTCATATAATTTTATACATGTAAAATATTATGTAATAAAATAAATTACCCATAGTGGGAAAACACCCACACTCTGACACATCAATGAAGAGTTCCTTGACTATTTGTAACTCCTACCAGAATACACCTTTCCAAAGAAGATGGCCAGAGGCAGGGTCCTTTCTTGATAGGAATGCAGTGAGCTAAGCTAGTTGCTGGTATTGACTTTCAAGTATCTTGAGAAATAAACATCATGAGATAAAGTAATAGGGAAGACGTTGTTTCAAATTCAGCCTTTACGAACTGCTAACTAAGAAATTTTAACAAGTTCCTTTGTCACATAAATTTGCTGGAAGTGGTGAAAGGGAGCCTTCATGGAGAATCCTGCTAATTGATGTTTGGTAAGTTGTGAAGGCACCGGTTACAAAGGTCTTCTCTTTAGAAATGGTGTGAGGTCACTCAGTGATCCATAGGCAAACAATGAATTCACTATAAACTTCACACCTTATATGAAAACTAAGTCAAAACAGATTATGTGTTTCTATGCAAACTATAAAACCGTGAAACATTTAGAAGGTAACATTAAGGACATTTTCAGATGGTAGGGCAGGATAAAGCATTCCGATACACGAGAGCAAAAGCACGATAGATAGAGGAAAAATAAAAAGGAATTGAATTTCATGAGAATTAAACTTTTTGCTTTGCCAAGGACCTGGTGGAAACCATATTACTGAATGGGAGAAAATACTTCCTTTTTCCCTGAGATATTGTTTTTTTCCTTAGTTGAGCAGATTCTTATCCTTTCACTGTATTGAGGATTTTGTATCTTATGTACTCTTACTGTTTCTTACACTAGAGGGACAATATGGTATGTGAGTTTGATTTATTTCACTTACGAGTATGCTCTCAAGTTGCATCCCTTTATATATAAATATCTCAATGTGATCATTCTTTACAGCTGAGTGGTACTCCATTGTATAAAAATACCACAACTTTTTTTTACCCATTCCTCAGTTGATGGGCATTTAAGTTGTTTCCAAGATATGGATATTACAAATTGTGCTGCTATAAACATGGGTGCACATATATCACTGTGGTATGATGTTTTCAGTTGAAAATATTTCCAAATAACACTCCTAGAAAGGGATTCAGAGAGTAGGTAAGAAATTCCCATGCTCAAGATGCAACAAGGAATCAAATTTGAAAACTGGCAAATAAAAAGTTTGAAAATTGGTAAAAAGGCACAATCATCTAAGCAATGAGAGATACATGGAGGAGGTACAAGTGCATGAAAGGATGTCCAGTGTCATTAATGAGTAGCAGAGGGCAGCTGAAAGTCACTGTCAGGGTCTCCGCACTAAGCACAATGAGACCCCAACCCACCTGTGTCTTAGTGGCCACGGTAAAGAAGGTGACGGAACCACACTGTGGCAGTGCTCAGCGCAGCTGGACGTTTCATGCATTGATGGTGGGAACCTAAAGAGTTACAATGACTCTAGAACACAGTTGGTAATTTCTTAAAAATATGCCCATGCCATTACCAGAGGTAATTATCTAGCAGTCCTTGTACTCCTAGATAATTCTGCTTATGTGAGGCTAATACCCACATCAGAGCACACAATCAAACTTTCATAAAACCTTTACCTGTACACACCTCAATTTTTTTGCATAATGTACGATCATTTAAGTAAGTAGTGGTACACTTGTACAGTGAAATAGACCTGGAAATAGAGAGGAACAACTTGTAATGAAGGTGACGGAGATCCTACCTGGGAGTAAAGGAAAGTGGTGGATAAAAGGAAAGCTGATTCCCAAAGTCCCATGCTGTATGGGCATTTGCACAAGGTCACAGCTGAGAACAGCTGAGCGAGTGTCGGGGTGAGGGGTGGTGGGCAGAGGAGGGAGGTGGGTCTGTCCCCAAGGGCCAGATGAAGGAGCCAGTGATCTGTGGTGGGCTATTCTACATCTTGATGATTACAGAAATCCACACAAATGAGAAAGGACCGTAGACACACACATGCACACACATGCACACATTCAAATCCTTGTTTCCCTTATTTTTTCTGGCCCTGGGGATCTAACTCATGACCTTGCACTTACCAGGCATGTGCTTGCGCCACGTAGCTACATCGGTGTCGCAGTGCAGTTATGTCCTAGTAACCACTGAGGGAAAACTAGGCGAAGCCTTGTTCCTGGGAGCACTCTGTACTATCCTTGCAACTTGTGGTGAATCACTGAGTATTTCAATGTCAAAAGTCAAATAAAAATAAAGGTGAAAAAGTACAGGAGGAACAGGCAGACAGGTGTATATAATCCTCCCAGCAAGGGCGGGTGTTGTACAGGTGCTGCCAGAAAACTCAAAAAACACACATCAGTGTTCCAACTCAAATGCATATGATATTGATTGATCAACCAGGCCATCCCCTTGTCCCTTCACTGTCCCAGCCACCCTGTCTGCTCCCTGTGTGTCCATCCCATCGACCAGCGAGGAGCTGAGTCTGGAGCAGACCAGGGGGAGCCGTGCTGGGCTCTGTCCTTTACCCTCTGCTCCCTGTGCTGCAGCCAGGGCAGGTGGCTGATGCTGGCAGTGGGGTTCCCTCTGCTCCCCTCGCACCAGAGTCCCTGGGCTCTGGCCCCGTAGAGGCTCCAGGCTGACTGCCTCCAGGTCTCTCCTGTCAGGGGTTTTGTGCCTAGGGCTGAGGGAATCAGTGCTGATCCCCCAGAGATCAGAGGCTCCAGGGGCTGAAGTGGAATTGGATAAACAGTGTTGGTCTGTTATTCTCTGCTGAAAAAGTTAAGGTTCCCCAGATGGGACAAAGTTTTCTTTTGTGTTATTTGCCTTTGGGGACTATTTGCTTCATTTTTGAGATTTCCCAGGCGTTTTAGGCTCCTTCTTTCTTCCCTCCCTTCCTTCCTTCTCTCCCCCTTTCCTCATTTCCTTCTTTACCTCCACCCTCCCTGACTTCATTTGTTTTGGGGGGTGGAGATCAAATAGCAAAGTCATTCCGACAGTTGAAATTCCGAAGTATGAAACACACAGAATAAAATCCACGTCTCCCCTCGTTCCTCCAGCCAGCCTCCAGGTTTTCCCAGGAAACTGACCATGTGCTCTTGTTATTCCTGCACATTGCAGCCTTGCGTTGCCCTAGAAAGGTGCTCACATCTGTGTTCTGAGTCCCGCCAAACCTCTGTTTGGCGTCTCTGCATGTTTGTCCCCATCAGCATGGAGGGAGGAGCTGCGTTGTTTGCTGGGGTTGTAACATGTTTTATAAGGAGCTACATTTCTGAGTCTGCTTACTGGAACTCCCCTCGCCAGAAGGTGTTTATATAATTCACAATCTTCTTTCTCGCTGTTGTGTATGTTTGTGATGTGCAATAATTATCCCCGCTGGGGAAATCGGGGTCTATGCAAACCAAATTTGCTTCCTTTTTACCCCTCCCCACACTTCTGGGGCCTTTTTCCATCTCCACAAAATCTGCTTCCCTGCAGCTTCCCATTTCTCTTTTGTTTTTCTGTTTAAATTATTCATATTTTGGGTTTCTCATTCAGGAAGTTTTTCTTTTTCTTCTCTGAGTCAGATTGGGTGTCTTAGCATGTTTCTTAGAAACACTACTATTTCATTCCCTGTGCCTTTGTATTATATATGTTATCCCTGCAAAAGTATTTTTATACTGGTATTTTGAATTAAGTACTTTTTAAAGAAGTCTTACAAATATCCCTTTCTCAATATAATTTTTAAATTTCACTTTTTTTTGCCATGCAGAATACTTTGATTTTAATGTGGTTCTTATAAAACTTGTTTATAGTAGATAAGTTGAACTCTGATCTTTTGACCGTTCGCCTTCCATCTCAACTTACCTGGTTGCTGCCAACTATGATTTTCTAGGGATCTATCAGTCTGACCATCCCAGACTGCACACAGAAATTGGAGCATGCAGCATTTATCTTCATATGTCTGGCTTGTTTAACTTCACATGACGTCCTCCAGGTCTGTCTGTGTTGACACAAATGGTAGAATTTCCTTCTTTGTAAAAATGGAATAATATTCCATGGTGGGTGCGTGTACGTGTGTGTGTGTGTGTGTGTGTATCTTGCTTTATCCACTGATCCACTGAGATATATTTAGGTTTTGATATCCTGGCTATGATGAGTCAGGCTACAATTAACATGAGAAAAAGTATCTCTTAGAGACATGATGTTATTAGCTTCTGTAGTTTTCAATATTCCTGTGCTCTGGTCTAAAACCAATGAGACTTATAGGCTGATTCTTTTAATATGCTTCTTTGTGCTGGTGTTTTCATTTCCTATTTTATATTAATATTCATGAGTGATTTTGGACCAGATTTTGAGCTGTCTCTGTTATATTGCTTCATAAAAATTGGGAGTCGACTCTCTTTGCCCACCCGCTCCAGCGG